TTCTGCTCCAGAGCCTCCCGGGGAGAGTGTCACCCAGCCCTCTGGATGTGTGATGCTCCAGGTGGGCAGTATTTCTGCTGATTCTGCAGAAGCTGAGGAGCAATCCCGTGTTGCATGTGTGTTCTCAGGCAGACAGCATGGACTGGGATGAGCCTCAGGGATGAGCAGTAGCAGGAATGGGAGACTGGGGAGGCAGCTGCCCCCTTCCTACGCTGGCAGCTCAGGGCCGTGTCAAGGAGAGGGACAGTGTGGGACACCAAAATGGATGAGTTAATGGAAGTGGAGAGAGGTGCCATGCAGGGGCCCCTTGGGTCAGCTGGCAGAGGCTTAGAGCCTCCACAGGACTATCAGATGGGGTGGGAGGAACCTGCTCTTACAGCTGGAGGTGAAATGCATTTTCCCTGCCTTCCCACCCCATCCTCTTCCTGTCCTCTCCCAGATCTCCGCCTGCAGCTGCTGGACGTGAAGAACAACCCCTACCTGATCAAGGCTCTCTATGGGCTGCTGATGCTGCTGCCCCAGAGCAGCGCCTTCCAGCTCCTGTCCCACCGCCTGCAGTGCGTGCCCAACCCCGAGCTCATGCAGACCACGTAAGTGCCACGGGGACGGACCCCCAGCATCGGCATCGGGGTTGGATCAGCTGTTCCCCCACAGCTGAGCATCCCTGCCATCCCAGGCTCAGCCCCCATCCCAGGCTCAGCCCCGTGCTCCAGCTTTCGCCCCCAGCTCCGTTGCGACCGTGGCTGCTCCTTGTCCCCGTGGCCGGGAGTGTTGGCTCGGGGGGTTTTTTGTGTCTATATTTGGTAACCCTGGGAGGGCTGTGCCTCATCCACAGGCATTTGGCATCCGGGATGGAAAATTTCACTTGTGGGGTCGCTATGGAAACGAGCAGAGCTGGGAAGGAGGTTTATGGAGAAAGGCTCCGGCAGCTGGGGGGTGCTCCCAAAACGTCCCCCCTGCAGCCTGGGCAGCCTTCGTGGCACCCAAAAGGACCATGGCACCCGTGCAAACGCCTCCGGATGGCAGCTCCATTCCCACTCCTGGCCTTTGGGGATCCACGAGATGTGCAAGGGCGGCATCTCCTTGGGGACCAGCCGAGATCCTCATGCTCCCTGCCCAGGGGTGCTGCCAGTGGCATTTGCTTTCCAACCCTTGGCTAATGGATGGAGGGGGGAGGTTGATGGTAAAGCCGGCTCTGCCTTGGCAGAGCCTGGGAACAAAAAGAGCTCCCAAGATGGGCAGGTTTCTGAATTAACCCCCCGCTGCCGTTGTTGCTCCTTGGCTTTTAACTGCTTCCCTGGGATGGCTTTTATCCCTCGTGGCCTCCGGCGCTGAGCTCCTACCCACAACCCAGCACTGATATTTAATTGGGGGGGCGGAGAGGGGGTTGCATGTGCTTCCCCCTCCTTTTTTCCCCCCACTAGCCCCAGCAGTGGGGGTTTTTCGAGCTGTCAGACGGCCTGAGCATCTGATTAACTCTGACCTACATTCCTTCAAACACCGAAGCCAGCTTTCATAACCGGCCAGCCCCAGCTGCCCCCTCCCCAGGGGGATACCGGGGCCACCAGAGCTGCCTGCCATCCTCCTGTGGGCATCCTGTGGCTGGTGTTCCCCCCTTCCTTGCATGGGGACAGCATGGGGATGAGCATCCCTAGCTGGAGCCCTAAGGAGCCTGCCTTTGGGGGTTTTAGCCACTGGAGCTCATCCCTGGGGGCTTTCCCTGCTGCCACTGGGTATTTTTGGCTTGCTCAAAAAATGAGACAGGGAAACTGAGACACGGGGCGCTGGCATCCTTTCCTCAGTGCTTTTGGCTGGAATGGATTGGAATAGAGGGGAGCATCTATGTTGAAGGGGTTGAACCTCCCCTGTGGGGCCAAGATGGAGATGTCCCTTGTCCTCTCCTTGTCCCAAGGCCTCTTGGGCTCCCTCTCACATCTTTGGGGGACCGAAACACATCTTTGGGGTTGTTTAATGGGGCACCAGCGTAACAAGGATGTGCTGAGCTCAACTTCTTCAGGACAAGCTTTTGGTGCTTCCAGTGCTGGATGCTGACAGTACCAACATCCCCAGCCCTCTGCCCACCCTCACTGTCTGTTCCCACCCTGCAGGGACAACACCAAACCCAGTACCAGCTTCAAGAGAACAGCAGCCTCCAACATCGACTACACGGAGCTGCTGCAACACTTCGAGAAGGTCCAAAACAAGCACCTGGAAGCAAGACACCAGCGAGCCGGACGGGCAGAGCAGCTGGACCGGCGGGTGGTCCTCTGAGCATCCCAGAGGCCCCCGCGGGTGTGCACAGTTGCTGGGGCTGGGACCAGGGGACACGGAGCAGGGAACGGGCACACCGGTTGCTGGCCGCCGGAGGATCTGGTGGGTTTCATGGAGATGGGCAGGCGCTCAGCACCGGGCTGGTTTTCCCCCCCCCCCACTGTGCATGTGGATGATGGGGGACCCTCAGGCTGCGCCCGACTTCTCCCGTGGGTGTCGTGGGGACGTGGGGAAGGGTTGCAGGAGGAGAGGGCCGGGGTAAAGCACCTCGTCTTCGCTTGCAATGGGGCGAGGAAACTCCCCTTTGCTTTGCTAATGCCTTCCCCGTGACTGTCAGCTGAGAGCCCAGCCTGCTGCCAGCAGCACCGGAGGAGGGGACGGGAAGACGGGAGCAACCCCTGGCCTCCCGCCCTGGAAAACAAGCACGCGGGGCTGCCAGCACCTCTCGCCACCCCGACTTCCACTCTCTGGCTCCGAGGGCCTGCTGGAGGTCACCGGTGGCATCTCACTCGGGGAGTCACTCCTGTGTGTGACACGCAGCCCCCTCCCTGCATTCACGCACCCTCCCTGAGCTCCTGGCTCTTGGCAGGGACAGCGGCACAGCCTCAACTCCCAGCCGGCACCGGGGGGCACAGGGGGCAGTGGAGACCCCCATCACACTTAACCCCAGACTCTATTTCCTGCGTTAAGCTCCCCATGATAAAATAAACAAGCAATGCAGAGCAGCCCATTCCTCGTTGCTGGGCTTCCCTTCATAGATCCGTTCCCAAGCAGAGCCAAAAACGCAGCAAGGGCAGGGGATGGCATAGATCATCATGCTTGACCCTGTGCCCCAGGCTGGCCCAGCCCTGCCACGTTGGCTTGCCAGCGAGCAGGGCTTCTCTGCCTGCTCCTCTTCCCAGCAGGAAAAAAATCCAGCAGGAAAAAAAAATCCACCACTGAAATTCTTCCAGGCCACGGTCACGAAACCGCAGTGTGGTGACAGGCATTTTCCTGGCCCCGAGCAGCCGCTGGCGCTGCCTTCGCCCCGTCCCATGGCACCGGGGGACTGTGGCACGTGCCAGGCCGGAGCGGTTTGGGGGAACCCCGTTGCATCCCCTCACCTGATCCCAGGGAAAGGGGGGTTGAAGGAATTCATGGAGTTTTTATGGCTTCTGGCCCTGTTTACAGCAGAGGCTGTCTCTGGCAGTGGGTTCCCCCGAACAGCCCCGTACCAGCAGCGCTGCTTTGGCCAGGATAAAGACATTCCTGTCATTCCCGGGAAAGGGCTTTCCAAACGCAGTCACGGCGGGTTAATTTTAACAGCCAACCCTTCAGGATGGGCGAGCGGTGGCTTCCCAAGCCCACCAGCTGCTCAGGGTGCTGGAGGGGGTACCCGTTGCCAGACCCCCGGGTCATTACCAGCGTGGGGCAGGGCTGCTGCTGGCCCTGGGGCTCTGCCCATCGCTCCTGCTGGGCTCCCCACCACTGAGCAGCCTCTTTCCACACCGAGGGACTGGGTTTATGGGGAGAAATTCCAGTCGACTGCCGAGCTCTAATCATTTCCTTATGGATGCTCTTGACCAACACCGGCTGGAGCAGCGTGGGCATCGCCAGCGGGGGATCGGGGCTACTTCACCCCAACTGAGCATCATTTCACTGTGAGGTGTAGGGAGGTCCATCAGGGCTCAGCCTGACAGCCCCAGATCCCGGGGGGCTGGGGCTGGGGCCTCAGGATGGCTTTGGGAAGGGCTCGTCTGCTGGCAGGCCGTGCATTTCCCATGGCTCTCCAGTAATCGAGTGCACTGAGACATTTCAGAGCTGCTGTATAATCACCCCGGAGGGACTTCAGCCTGCAACGGTGGTTGCCTGCAGCACACCTTGGCAGGTCAGGAAGGCAGTGGGGGTCAAACACCCCTTGGGGAGAGGCTGAACAGGCAGCATCCCGCCATCGCCAGGGCTCTGGGGCTGCCCCCGAGCATTCCGTGGCAGCTCCAGAGCTCACCCCGAGCACAGCGTCGCCCTATACACCCTGGGGCTCTCCTGCTCCTCACCCGGCACCCCAAGAGCATCCCTGGGAGTTCCTCCGCCGCCACGGCAGCAAACCCCGGTGCTGCCCCCACCAGTCCCGCATCCCCAGGCATCCCTCGGGTCTTCTCCCGCTGCAGCCCCGGCGCTGCTCCCCGACCCCCCCACAAGAGCATCCCCGAGAACCACCGGGGCTGCCCCGGGCCTCGTCATCCCCGCGCGTCCTCCGGGTGCCCGCCGCCTCCCCCGGAGCATCCCCGGGGCTGACCCTGAGCGATCCCCCCCC